GCACTTTTCACTTTTTTTCACTGTTTTTTGTCTCTTCAGGCTGATCCGTGTCGATCAAAATAAACAATTCTATTGGCTTTAGATCACGTGATGGACACAGCTTTAGACGACCCCTAAATTAGGAAATTGGTTTATATCATTTTTTTTATAAAAAGCAATTTTATTAGTCAATTTAAAAAATTGATATGTAATTCGAAAATATCACACTAATGAAAATGAATTCATTTAGCCCATATATATTAAACAATATAGCAAGTTTAAGCCTTATTTAAGATATTCAAAAAACTGTCAAATGATTAATAAAAGAAAAGACAAAGCTAGATATAATTAGATAGAAAGTGATAATAACAATTTTAAAGAACCAAAAATAATCTTTAAAAGCAAGAATAGTAAAGTAGAATTAGAAATTGCTTATCATAATATAAATAGATTGCGAAGCAACAGATAAAAACTAGAAGCACTATATATATGAGTAGATATTATATAATAATATAGATATTTTAGGAATAGCAGAAACAAATATCTCTAGCAAAGAAGATTTTTTTGCAACATTAAATTTTTATTTTTTTTGGTGTTCAGGTGGGATCTTGCCCATGATTTTATTTATTGTTAATACTTTCATTACATATATTACTACATTTTCGTATTTACATATATCAAGTACACCAAGCTCAGACCTGAATCCTATTGGTTACCTACGCTTTGGCCGAAACCGTCACTTGCACTATAGGTGTCCCCATCCACTATCTGGCCACTAATCCATTATCTGCAATCTAAACCTACCGAAACGGTACGTCCTTATAGATAGCACTCACCCAATATTTTTCTACCCTTCACTAGTCCTATTTTGGTAACTTCTCTATGACGTCATTCCTCGCATCTCTCATACTACTTATATCTAAGCTCCCAAATTTGGTAGTCCCTTCTGGGATATGACCTCATAGCCTCAAAGGCTACTTCCAATCTTGGTTATCTTCAGCTAGTCTGCCTAGGTAGTATCATGAAGAGGAACTCATGCTGGCCCAGATTAAGCCTTGTCATTAACGTCTAGTTTAGTTAGTATGCTGCTGATTCCTGTTATCTTTATAGGTAGATACTCCTGTATATTGATGCAGGCTCGCCATATTGCATTATAGGTTACTTCATAACTTCCAAATTGCGGGTTTCGTATTACTTCTCTTCCATAGTTTGAGCTATGGTGTTCTGGTGTCCTGATATTTTAGGTTAAAAGCTCTAGGGGTCTAGACCTAGTTGTGGCTTGCGGTCTGTAATACTTCCAATTTTAGTATTTGGTGTTCCTTATCAATTTTGATATACAAGCCCGATTTATACAATTGTACTACCAGCCCAGTGAATTCAGCTATTTCGAGTTTTTACTATGTACCCTGAGTTACAGCCTTTTCGCTCTGTTCTCACAGGTTTCTTCTTTGATAGGCCAAGTGGCTTGGGGCCAGAGGTGCTTCCGAACTTCGAATGGACCAATCCTTTACCACAAGTCATTCTCGTATTCACCACTTTTCTCACTACTCCAGTTTTGTTACTATCGTGTCACTCTCTCAATCAAGTACCCCAACCACTGAGGATGTTGGTGCTGCCCCGGTCATCTCTAATCGAGGACTAACATGCATAATCTTCTGTATAACAGAACTTTTCATGACCCATCATATATAGTACTACCACTCCACGATTGGACCTCCTTCTGAGAATTTTCTTTTTCGGTTTTGTACTTGCACTTGGACTTAACCACAGAGATCCGCATTCAATTATGGCCCCTATTGGGTTACAGAAGCTAAAAATCCTAAGATTTTGCCTCCAGCCTGACTTGAACCGTTGACCTAGTCTGTGAAGGTTTGGCAGCTTAACCACTAAGCTATAGGGCAACATTAAAATTTAAGAATTATAAAAGCTTTTAATCAATACAAACCTAAACAAGAAAAAAGGCTTAAGAGTGGGCCTATTTATAAGCAATCAATGAAAAAGACATCTAAAGCAAATTGAAAAGAAAAATGAATATCTAATAATAGTTAACTTTATTTTTAAGCAGCTTGAAATAATTGTAATAATAGTTTATTTGCTTTCAAATAATAAAGAAAAAAGAAGAATAATCCAAAGAAAGATCTTAGAAAGATATATTAATTGATCTAAGAAAGCCTAAATAATAGTTATAGGTGATTTTAATTGTATTTTAGATCCTTATCAAGATAAATCACATAGCAATAAATAAGAGCTATTTAAGATTAATCTATTCATCAGATGGCTGCAGAAACAAGATTTTGAAGACTCTTTCAGACTAATAAATCTAAAATGCAAGAAGTTCTTCTGGACAAATAAAGAACAGAGCTCAAGAATTAATTAGATTTAGATAACAGAAGACTTAATTAGTAGACTCTATAAAGCTAATATTCAAGATATAGATATCTTTATTAGCAGTAACTATGAAGTGGTACTTGCAAAAATAGAATTAAAATATTTAATATCTTCAGTTAGCTATGCAAAGCTTAAAAAAGAGAATTTTATTAGATTGGTCTTTCTATATGATGAAGCAACCAAAGAAAATTGGGATAATTATAAAGTAAAAGTAGAAAAAATCCTTAAAAACAAGAGAAATCTAATACGAAATCTTTCTAATTTTAATTATTCTTCAGAAGAAGAAATTCAGAATTTGCTAGATGAAGTATAAGATTTAATTAATAAAAGTATACTAGCAGTAGCTTAAAAAATGCTACTTAAAAGGAAAATTTTAAATATATTAGTAATTAAAATAAAATGAAAAAAGAAATCCAGGCTATCACAAATCACAGTCTATTTGGGAAGATGGATAAGCTTGAATAAAAAAAACCTCAAACTACAATATACAGTATAACTAAGGATATTCAGAAATTTAATAAACAGATTAAATATATCAATTACTGTTGTAGAACTTATATAGTGGAAATTTAAAGTTATTAGACACAAGAAGTAATTGATAACCTAAAGAATTGGTAGAAAATTCTTAATAAGAGAAGAATAGAAGAATTTGAGAGAATTAGAAAGAACAAAATAAATAGAATATTAAATAAAGATATCAAATAATAGATAAATAACAAGAAAAGATGTTAATAAGCTTACTCAATAAGCCAATCAAAAAAATTAATATAGACTAACTATTTGAAAAAATAACCTTACAAGAAGATTGATTACTAATTCAAAAGAAGTATTGAGAGTACAAGTAGATATTTTCAAAATCAATTCAGAGCAAGAAATTTTTAAGAAAAGTTAATAGATGAAAAATAGGCTAAAGAATACAGTCCTATAAAGGAAATACAAGAGGCCTAGTACAATAGTCTTAATAAAAACATTACAGAAATAGAATAGTCTGAGATGCTAATAGACCTGAAAAAAATACAGCACTAGGTATCTTAGATATAATATATACACTAATTAAAGCAGCAAGTAAACAAGCACAAGAGGTTTTTAGAGCTATTGTAAGCATATGCATAAAAATAGGAATAGTTCTGAAGAAGTAGAAATTGTTCCAGATATATCTAATTCCA